AGGCAACACCACACACTCTCTTACAGAACTTATGCAGAGTTAAAGACTGCAGTAGACGCGAAACTGAGGACAGTACAGAGACAAATTGGTTACTGAAGGCAGCGCAAACGTAATAGCTGGGACGTTATATCAAATTAAATATTATTTGAGAAGTTACATGGTTCTAATATTCATATGTCTAATTGCCTTACCGATATACATACGTTTCTTTATATTGCATGTAGTCAATAAGGAAATGGCAGGTTTATACTCTTCAGAATGTCATTGAAATCTGGTCGTTCTGATCAAGATCTCAGATGGATTGAACACTATAATTAAAGTTTGGATTTATGTTTGCCTTTATAATATTTTAAGTGTTGAATGTATATTTCCAACTGCCATATATCAAAATTAAGAGGATAACGGTAAAAAAGGCCGCACCATAGCTCAAGCGGTTAGTCGCTGGCTTCCCACCGCGGTGGCCCGGGTTCGATCCCGGGTCTGGTCAAGTGGGATTTCTGGTGGACAAAATGGCCCTGGGGCAGGTTTTCTCCGAGTACTTCGGTTTCCCGTGCCAATCTTCATTCCATGAACTGCTCCACAATCATCCTCTCCTGTCATCTAGGGCTGGTACAATAGGCCAGAAGTGGCCGCAGTACAACGGACTTAGTCCCACCCCAATAGCAATAAAAAAGGTAAAAAAAAAGGATAAATTATCCCTGTAACCGGCCATGGAAGCCCATAGGGTTGTGAGACGACGAGACTCCCACATTTTCTAGACAGTTGGCTCACAGATGGCGTTGAGGTTGTCAACCTTACGCGCCGGCCACCATTTACCCCCTGCCCCAGGAAGATACCTGGTACTCATTTCTGTTAGAGGATGAATCGACCCAAGGGCCGTAGTGCGACTGGAAAGATTATATCAATTTAAAAAATCCATTGACTTCGTCGGGATTTGAATCCGCGACCTAAATTAAGAGGATACATTTTGAAATGTACTCATAACTAACACTATGATAACAGAAGCCGAATATTCAACATTGCTAGTGTCAAAAAGTCTGTCACTGGACACGAACCTGAGCCAGTTCGTTGTGTCTGCAAATATTTTTGTGGGAAAACTGTAGGAAATAGGGTGTAGTCTCCACGTTTAGTATTCGATTCTTCTCACCGTGAAATTAAATTCCAGTGCATAATCCCGACTTCGCTGAGATGTTTACATGCATGCTATGACAACTTATGAATGTGTTGCTAGTGACATTAAATTCTTTTCGCTTGACGTGAACTCGCCAGTTCCGGCCACGAGCACGTAACATTTCATGCTTCATCGCAGCATGTCATAGATGGTCGTACACTTGTCAGTAGGAACCAGACTTAGTCCTTATACGTTCCATTCGATATATAGAAATTAACAGGAATCAGAGAGGAGAAAGAGCATGGCATACATTTGTACGTATCGTTGCATTTAGATTTTAAACACGAAAAGATACGACTTTACACAGCCTACTGTTACTGACCACCATGACGTTGCTTTGTGATTATTTTAGGTGCCATGTTCATGTCTGGTTGCCATGCAGTTAAGTCAGAGACGGAGAAACGGAGGAAGAAAACCAAAGATACGAAAGGCTTTTATGTCATTGAATACGAAGAGGTGAAGGAATAGTCGGTGACAAAAGAAATATTTTACCGCAACAGAATGGAAAATAGCAGATCTCCAAAGTATGTTCTTCGGTATAAATCAAGAGGAAATAAGGACATGGGAAGACCAAAAGATGATTTCAGCCTAATCCTGGGCACCAAAAGCTGTTGTAATTTGCAAATGTATTCGGATGAATTTCCTCGGTTACAGTTTTATTGACGTGACGCTGTTGGTGTAGCACCCAGTCGTCTCGATCTTCCCTTTGCTGACGTCGAATTCCTCGATATTATTGGCCTGTTATGAAACCCGCTTTAGCTGCTGCTTCTTTCAGGGCATGATATAAACATGAAGTTCTGAAAAGAACTCCTGACGCCAGTGGTTCACTCTATACAGTGGTGATAGGTTACAAATTTGGTTTTCCATTTGTCTGAACAAATCCACTAATAATATTAAAGATTAAGCCTGCGTTAAATTTGCCAGCGTTGACGTCATATTTACGCAGTGTTGACGTGTTTGTATCTTTAATTCGTATATTTAAAAAATCTGTATGCCGTAACGATTATCCACCTTCACGGAATACGAAAGGGTCACTTCGGAATTAAAATTTATGTTAATATTAAAATTAATATTAGGGAAATACGGTGTGGTTTGGACTGAATTGCTCTGGCTCCTGATGTAATCTACTGGCGGACTGTTGTGTACACGACACTGAACGCTGGGTTCCATAATGGGCGGGAAATTCGTTTATAAGCATATGTCTGCTACCCAAGAAGCACTGCGCTCGATGGAATTGCTTTACCGTCATTCCAATCTTTCAGCCCTTTAAGACTGCATTTAGAATGTTGTTCACAGTGGTGCTGGATAGTTTATTGCTGCTAAAGTGTCCTGTAGTAGAGAGATTTCAGCCAGCCAGTGGCTTGCGTTTCAGTTTTTGCACTTGTTGGACTACACGCATGATACATAGGCCGGAGAAGTTGCCTGACTAGAGCACCTCTAGTCCCTGTTGTTTACGTCTTTTTTCTCACCGAATGTCCGCGATAAGCCCCAAGGACGCTTTCTGGTTATATATACTATATAGTAAGCCTTGCTTAGTCATATTATGAGCGGTTTAAGAGCCCAAGAACCGTTAAAGAAGCCTAAGCGCGTGAAGACGTGTGAGAACTGGAGACAGAGTTCCACGCATTCTTGGTCTCTACACTAGATGAAAGTAGGTAGTCTGCTTTACTTCCCGGGTAGAAGGCCGGGTGGTCTGACGGGACATTGGAAGGGAAGAGAAACAAATTTGGCCCTTCCAAAGGGGAGGGACACATCCAACTTGCCCAGCCCATAATCAAGAACTTTACTGAGATTTTTTTGGTTGACATTAAGAAAGCAAGAGAAAATTAAATGTTTGGCTTTCACACAGTGGGATCTTATCAGCAGCACATGTACCTGCTTGTAAGATAAAGGAGAGTCCTGTATTCTGATGAGTTGTGGTTGCAATATTTATTGTATCAACACTGATGAGCTTCAAAGCAGTCACCACATGGATATTTATCAGTGTTGATAAAGTTGTCAGTCATTTTGATATTCATGATTTCATCCATAAAACTAAAGTAATGTAATATCTGAAATGCTCTTAGTGTATGTAAGTATATAACACATCTCTCATATGCTTAGCGCCTCATATGAACACCCATAAATGCAGAATAAAGTACTTTTAATAATGTTGCATTTTCATAATACCCCAAAACCAAGCATGTGTTCATGTTTTGTTACTAGAATACAGAATGAACACATAATGTAATGGCACCTAACAAATCCTTAAAAAACTGTCAAAGTTAAAACTATTTTAGAACAGCAGCAACATGCCGAAATTACACTTATGAAAGAAAAAAAAGAGCAAATTAAAGTACAGGAATGTTTGTTTTAATTCTGTTTAGAAACTTTTAACTTTTAGTCTTCTATCCTGACGCTTGAAGACTAAAATATAAAAAACTATAATTTCCCTGTGGTTTTGTATGGCTATGGAACTTTGTCTTTTGCCTTAAGGAAGAAACATGGCTTGAAGGTGTTTGAGAACAGGAGAATATTTGGGTGTAAGTGGGAAAGTGGGAGGAAGTGACAGGAGGACAGGGAAAATGGCATAACAGTATGCTTCATAATTTATAATCTTTGCCAAATATTATCAGGGTGATCAATTCAAAGAGGATGAGAAGGGTAGAACATAAAGCACACAGGATATGTGACTAGTGCTTACGCTTTAGTCAGAAGGCATAAAAGGAAGAGTCCATTTTGGAGAACCAAACATTGATGGAAGGGTAATATTAAATCAAATTTTGTTTAAATAAGATGTGAGGATGTAAATTGGATTCACTTGACTCCAGACAGGGATCCAGCTCTGGGTTTTTATGATCATGTTAGTGAACCTTCCGGTAACATAGAAAATTATATTTTTAACCCAAGTGATTGTGAACTGTTTAAGAAGCTTGTTTTATTTGTTCATAATTTATTTTCTAACTTGTTTCATATTTATATATATGGATGCTGTTTCAGGTTCAAATAAACCGCCTATCCGACCAAAGCCTGTGTTTGTATTGCAGGCTTGGCCAGTTGGTACAGAGTCCCTGATTTAGTTAGTATTTTAGTATACATAAAACTAGGTTTGTTGCCCTACCCTAGCACTTAATTGCTTGCTGACTCCTTAAAGCAGGATTCTTCTTTAGAAGCTAATAGTCGCTCCGCTAGTCAAGAAATTTCCCACCTTTCATGGAACCTAGAGGTTCATTAATGGTTCATGTGAGCCTGCCACTGGACCCTATCACTAGCCAGATGAAAATCCAGTCACACCTTCATATTATATTTCCTTATAATCTATCTTAATATTACCCTCGTGCCGCGCCATAGCTCAAGCGGTTAGTAGGTGGCTTCCCACTGTGGCGGCCCGTGTTCGATCCCATGTCTGGTCAAGTGGGATTTGTAGTGGACAAAGTGGCTCTGAGTACTGAGGTTCCTCTGCCAATCTTCATTCCACCAATTGCTCCACGATCACCCTCACCTATCATCTAGGGCTGGTACAATAGGTCAGAAGTGACCGCAGTACAAGGGACTTAGTCCCACACCACTAGCAATAAAAGAATTTTACCCTCCCATCTATCAATAAGTCTCCCATTTGGTTTCTTCCCCCTAGGTTTTCCTACTAAAATTTTATATGGATTTCTCATCTTTCTCATACATACTGTATGTCATATCTGTCTCATTCAGCTTGATTTTTCACCTAAATAGTACCTAGTGGATAAGAGCACAAATTTTCTGCATGCACATTAGCAACTACAAGATACATAAATGGAGCTTAAGAGTAGCCTAAGCATTATATGTAGTGATAGTGTAAGCTTGTTTCCTGTAGGTGGCAGTGGCCTGGCTAGCTATACCCCAAGCAAGATTCACCTTGGTAGTGAAGACTTCCAGTTGGGGGTGACTAGAGCTGCACCATTACTACCACATCGTACCACAGACATGGCAGTGTCTTCTGGGTCTAAGCAGACAGAAGAAGAAGAGGAGGAAGATTACTTAAAGCCAGCTGAGGATAGTGAGACTGTGGCTTGGAGTTCAGAAACCGCATCTGACTTGTTATTTTGATGATCACCTTGAAACAAGGTAATAAATATTTAAGATTTGAGGCTTTCACGGCGGTGACTATGAAGAAAGCAGTCTTCTGGGATTTGGCACCGTGTATATGTNGTGGAACCCAAAGGTTCATTCATGTTACAAGTATTATGTTTTTGGACATTATCCATCGTCCTGTCCATTTTCTAAAAAACCGTCTTGTTTATTTTTCAAAACAATATTTCGGAGACTGGATTCATGCCAAATGTATTCAGTATTTTCTCTTCTCCATTATTTCTTCATTCCAGCCAACTTTCTGCCCTCCGAAGCCCCCCTTTCAACCAAATGATACTTGAATGGTACACATGATGAGTGCAAAATATGTTCATGTTGCAAAATTTCTTCATGTTCCTCTTGAATTATTGGCACAAAGATTGATTAATGATAGAAAGCCTCCAGTTATTTCTTTGGGCAGGCCATCTTGATCTGTGTAATGTTTTGGTTTTGTTGATTTCATTGTAAAGATCGCTTTTTATAAACCTTCTATTTCATTTTTCTGCTTGATTTCCCATTCTTTGGCCCTTGAATGCAGAACATGATGAAATCTTAAAGTTCATTGAAATCTTCTGTTGATCACTCTCAATCTCACCTTTGTTATTGTCACTTGCTTTATGTATACCTATGTAATTTATTTTATTACTAAAATATGTAATTCTGTACCATTTCTATCATTGGCCTCCTCCAGAAAGTTAATATATTGTCCCTGGGAATAGTCAAACAGAATGTTAATGGTAAAACAAAAATAAAAAAAAAATCACATCATATAAAAGTTTGATAACATCAGAAACATGCATGAATAGTTCCTCTCTCTCTCCCCCCCCCCACTTTCTCCTCGTTCGCCNCCTCGTTGGCACTTAAAAATTGTTTCATAGTATATATTGCCAGTTGAAACAGAGACTGTTATTTTAGACCCAGCTTTTAATCAAACGTTTACAGTGCCTTGTTGCATCCAAACCCTGCATCCCATGTGTGGGACATAAACTGTAAAATAAATCTGTTATCACTAAAGCTAATGTAGTGTTAAAGCACTAATGTTCCTGGGCATGGTTTATTCCTTGTAATACTTTGGCAGTATGAAAGGCAGTGCAGTCCAACAGATATATAGGTCTCTGAATGTTATGTATTTGTGTAACTGAGCAGTGTTAATCTCATGTACCATGCGTGTCGTAATAATGCTGGTACATATGTAAAAATACAAGTTTGGAGTTTGGTGCCCCATATACATTCAGATGTGATCTTGCAATTGCTTACTAGATCTTTTTTAAACAAATGAATATATGACTCTTCTGTTAGTAACTACTGTACTGACAGAAAGTATAAGCATTAAAATGTGACACAAATTATATTGAAGGTGAAAAAGATAATAAATCGCCAATACAGTTCCATGTTTCTTTTGTATTTTGCATTAATTTGAGGGTGGCTGAAGCAGTTTATTAACAAAATTTACATGTTTGAAATAGGCCTGCTTCTTTCGTACAAGTGTTCTCAAATGCCAGCCATCACAGATGAGTGGTTAGCACATATACAGTGTATCCAGGTTCTGTTAGGACTGTGTTCATTAAAAATACAAGACATGAATTTTAAAATATTTCACTCTTTTTATTCAAAATAGTCTCCTTCTGAATCAATACAAGCCGGAATCGATTGATAAGTTTTTGAAAACAGTCACTGTATGCCTTTTGTGGAATCGCATTTAAAACTGCGGTAGATTCCCTTTGGATGTCCTGAATGGTGTCATGACGGTCTCCTTTCATTGCCAACTTAACTTTTGGGAGTAACCAGAAATCTGCTGGATGAATGAATGACATGGTATGCTGATCCATGACTCATGTTAAGAATTCCGGCTATTTCATCCACCGACACTTGGTGATTCTCCATCACTAGGGCTTCAACTGCTGCAATAGATTCAGGGGTCACAACTTTGTGTGCCTGACCCGGGCTAGGAGCATCTGCCACAGACGTCACACCATTTCTGAATTTCCTACTCCACTCGTACACTTGCTGCTGTGACAAGCATGCATCATACCGAACCTTCATCCGTCAATGAACTTCAGTCGGTTTCACACCCTCACTGATCAGAAAACGAATTACAGAACATCGTTGTTCTTTCATGCATGTACGTAGTGGAGCAGCCATCTTCAAACTGGCACTGTGATGGCATTCTGTTTGTCTGCATTATACTGCCACCTAATGGACAGTCTTTATAGTATTGGTAACATGTCTTCCAACGTATAGGACAATGGCACGATATTTCGAATTTTTATCTCAGTTTTACGGTTTTCGTTTGACTCACCTACGTACTTACTTAACTCTCTCACTCACTCATGGAGCTGAGCCCTTCTTGAGGAGCCGCCAATTGTGCAGCTGCTCAAGAATTTCCAAGCATTTTATGGAATCAGAAGGTTCATTACCATGTTCACAAGAGCCCTCCACTGGTCTCTATTCTGAGCAAGATCAATCCAATCCATACCATCCCATCCTATCTCTCTAAGATCAATTTCATTATTGTCCACCCACCTACACCTTGGTCTTCCCAGTAGTTACTTCCTTCTGGCTTTCCCGCCAATATCCTATATGCATTCATCATCTCCCCTATTTCGTGCCACATGCCCTTCCCACCTGATCCTCCTTGACTTGATCATTCTAATTATGCTTGGAGAAGAGTACACATGCTTAAAAATATTATATCTGAGCATCATATTATGTGTGAGGAATTTCTTTATTTATTCCATCACCATAGTAGGTACATCATTTCATACAATAGTTCCACAACCATCACATACAAAACACAACACTTCTCCAAAATACAAGGAACACAGACAAGGAGAGAACGCAATCAATCATATGCCTACAGGCCAACACATCACATACTACACCAATACAAGACCATGAAGCACCCTGAAGAAACACATCTGCACACAGCTACTGCATCCAAACCAAACATAAGAGAACCCTTTATACACTTCTAATTTTAATGATTTAACACATGCTTGAGCATTCATTCTCACTTAAACACTGTTCTGTAACATTCAGTCTTAATATAATAATGTTGTCCTGTTTTATCCAGAATCAACACCAGTTATGCTGAATGGAAGAAGTTGACTACAAGTTCCTGATAGTAAGTGAGCATGTACAGACCTGATGCCTAAACCTCACCTTATCTGACCTGACAGATACTGCCAACAGCCACAGCTTGGAAACTGACTTTCTGCAGCAAGCTTCCATCACATTTTTGGCAAACCAACAGTGTCAATTATATATAATATTTAACTATCTACATTTACAAACAAGGTATTTGTTCCAATTTATTAATGTATTCTGCTTACAAGAGTATTTTAGGATACAAATTTACAGTGAAATATCAGAAACTCAGTATACATTTTACAAAGAGTATGTGTGTGTTGTATTTATTGATTGTGGTAACAGTGATTCTCCTTCCATTTATATATGGGGAGTTGATATCTTCCATTTTTATGGTTATTAAGTCATTAATTTGTAAGAACAATGTAACACCAGTAATATGTAGCTCTCATGTGATGTTAAGTGAATCAAGTGTAGTTTTCTTAACAACCTTCCATTCCTTGATATTTGATGTTTATAAACATTTCTCCTTGAAAGTAGTCAGATCAGATTTAAATTGTAAATTCTGGACAATGGAAAAAGTCCAGAACCCAAGTAATTCTGTAGTTAATATGGTTTTACAAAACTGTTCTAGTTTTTCAGAGCTATCTTTAAGCAAAGACCAATTGAAATGGCTTGTATTTCATTGGTCATTATGTTTCTTTAAAGAAGTAATTTTGCTGTTTCTTCTTGTTGGTCCATTCCAGTCGTTTACATCTGTATTTAGTGATCTATAATTATTGTTCATTTCCATCACTTTAATGTTATCTTGTCTGTCTGCACATTACCTGGTGATTTTGAATATTGAATCTGCAGTTATATTGTTGAAGTGGTTAATTTTTCACCATAACTGGTCTTTTAATGTGATTAATAACGTAGTGAAGGATTTCTACTCAAATGTTTGTTGTGGTGAAGGCGACATGTTACAGCACTACCACACTTACACATATAGTATGGATAACATTAAACTATTGTACCCAGAAAGTTGTAACAGTATTTGACCTGCATATTGTAGCTGTAGATAAGGAAGTGGGAAATATCATTTAGCGATGTGCATGTGTTGAAGTAACCTGCCAGTATAAGATTTCTGATATGAATATTATGAAATTCCTCAAACACGTAGGAGTGTGTGATATACTGCCAGTAATGTATCTGTAACTTGAAATAGTAACTCTGGCCAGTTCAATTGAAGGCTGGTTTTTACAGTTTTTCATATGTACTGTCCTCATTTGGGATATGCATTCATGTATTCAGTAGCATACGGTGTGTCATTTCAAAATTCCAGCAGAAGCTTCAGTATAACCAGGAATTCACATTTCTGAAGATTATTAATGGTTTCTTGTAATGTATTCATGTTATGTTACAAAGTGTGTGTACTCACAATAGACATTCCAATAGATAGTAAAATGTTGCAGTCTTTGAAAGGATCCTTCCTTCAAAGAATTTCTTTCTTTCTTATTTTGTATCTGTTGTTACCAGTGAGGTTCTTAGTGAGATATAATAAGGTAGGAAATAATGTTTCTCATCTTTTCACCTGCATGTGTAAAATTACATAAAGATGGTAATATTACTTAAAGAAAGCCTAGATTCAATTAGGAGGGAAGTATTGTACAATATTCTGATAGAGTTTGGGATACCCATGAAACTAGTTAAGCTGATTAGAATGTGTTTAAACGAAACGTATATTAAAGTCCATATAAGTAAACATTTGTCTGATAAATTTCCTATCCAGAATGGTCTAAGACAAGGAAATGCTTTATTGCCACTCCTTTTCGACTTTGCTTTAGAATATGCCATTAGGAAGGTCCATGAAAAGCAGGTGGGACTGAAATTAAACGGGTTACATCAGCTGTTGGTCTGTGCCAATGATGTGAATCTACTGGATGATAAGAGAAAAGAAAAACACACAAACTTTAATTGACGCAAATAAGGAGGTTGGTCTAGAAGTAAACACAGAGAAAACTAAGTATATGTTGCTGTCTTGTGAACAAAATGCAGGGCAAAAACATGACATAACAATAGGAAACAGATGTTTTGAAAATGTGGCACGGTTGAGATATTTGGGAACAGCGATAACAAATCAAAAGCTGATTCAGGAGGAAATAAAGAGGAGATTAAACTCGGGTAATGCTTGCTAGCATTTAGTCCAAAACCTTTTGTCTTCTCATCTGCTGTCCAAAAACATAAAAATTAGAATATACAAAACTATAATTTTGCCAGTGGTTCTGTATGGGTGTGAAACTTGGTCTTTGATATTAAGGGAGGAACATAGACACAGGGTGTTGAGGAGAATATTTGGACCAAAGAGGGATGAAGTGACAGGAGGTTGGAGAAAACTGCACAATGAGGAGGTTCATAACTTGTACTCTTCTCCGAATATAATAAGAATGATCAAGTCATGAGGTGGGCAGGGCATGTAGCTTGAATGGGGGAGAAAAGGAATGCATATAGGATATTGGTGGTAAAGCCAGAAGGAAAGAGACCACTGGGAAGACCAAGGCGTAGGTCAGTGGACAATATTAAAATGGATCTTAGAGAGGCAGGATGGGATGGGATGGATTGGATTGATTTGGCTCAGGATAGGGACCAGTGGAGGGCTCTTGTGAACATGGTAATGAACCTTCAGGTTCCATAAAATGCTGGGAAATACTTGAGTAGCTGCTTTTTTGGCCTCTCAATAAGTGCTCAGCTCTATAAGTATGTATGTAAATAAAGATGGTAATATTTCTGAACAATTAATTAACATAATATTAACACAAGAGATTAAAAACACACACAAAGTAACTCAGCAGTCAAAGTAATGAAGGATATAAACTATGTTTATGTTAGGTTATCTCCCTTATAAGCAGGATATTTGAGTTCAAGTTCCCAAAGAGTTTTGAAGTATTTGTCATGACCTACATACAGTTGTCTTAAGTTTGAACCACTGTTTCCATTAGCTAATCACCATGTGGTAGCTCAGCAGGTATAGTGACTGGCTGTGGGTTGGACAATAGAGAGGTTGGAATTCAAGTCCCAGTACGGGTAAGAATTTTCTCTTCTACATGTTGTTAATCTGGTTCTGGGGCCCATTCAGCCACCTATTCCATGGGTACTGGGGTGAGGGGGGGGGGTCTTTCCTTGGGGCTAAAGTGGCCGGAGCATGTAGCTGACCACTCACCTCCAACTAGTAGCAAGGTCAAGGAAAACTGAATCTATATAACCACTCTCCCACACGCCTTCATGGTGTAGTGCTTAATTAATTAAGCACAGGGACAATTNATTAAGCACAGGGACACCTTTTACCTTTTTTCATCAGCATTTGACATCAGATAACTTATGAGTTTCATTCACAAAACAAATTCTTGAAGTTTGGAACTGTAAACCACTATTGGATGTAAATCTTGTTCCAAAAATTAATTTCGTTTTGTGTTAGTCTTGAGGTATGAGGTCAGTGTAGTAGCACCCATATGTAGCTCTGCCTTGACTTCAAATTACATAATCCTCTAATTGCTTAGAACATAGGCTCCTCCTGTAATACAGTTACTGCAATTTTCTAGTTAAAATATTTAAAAATGATGTAAAGAGTTATGTCTGAATTTGTTCAGTATCTGAGGTATATTTTATATAGATATATAAAAGTCTTTTGGGGGAGGATGTCAGTGATATATATATATATATTATCAGGTGTTATCTAAATTAATACAGAAACACAAGTTTATTTGATGACATGTCAGAAACCTGGTAGTCGTGTGATTTCCTATGCCTGAATAATATACACATATTCGTTAAAAGAAAAGTATGTTACAGAATGTGTTCCTTAGTGTATTTATGCATTATCTTCACTAAAACTTAAATAAATATTATAAGAACAGGAGGTAATATGTTCTAAACACATTTTGCAAAGTTACTTTTAGAAATTACTTACGACAATATACAGCATATTTTTCAGTCTGTAGTTCATATACCTTCAAGATCCAGAAAGCAAGGTGAACTTGGTAAACTAGAGCTACAGTACAAGACTCTCTGATCATGAGATTTGTGAGCAGTGCAGGAAGTCGGAACCAGTAAAGGTGTAGTAGCAATGTGGATCATCAACTAGTACCTGAGCCAAAACAGAATTGCTTTCGTTCAGTTAATTTGAGCACTACACAAGTACCACTAGTGGTCAGTATATTCTGACATGGTCGGTCTGTTTCTTTCCTTTGGCTCTGTTACAGTCCCTTCATCCCTCACCCCTTAGGTGTCAAAAGAGTCTACCAGTAAACTGTAAGTGTAATATGATGACAGAAAATTCATTACATATCTTGCAAGCATTCGTTTCACAGTTATACTCTTATTACTGTATTGTGAAACAAAGAAGGGATGACCATGTAACTCTGATTCTGGTGGGTTAGTATGACATCGCTAAAGTATATGCCAATGAATTCATCCCTTTTCGTGGGAAATGGCATTGCATATTATGAAAGTATTTCATTTATAAGAGTCAAGTCTGTAATTGTCTTATGAAATTTGTGACCGACACTATCCATCATTATCTCAGCAGTATTTTAAAAGAAGCTGCATTGTTCTTCTTCTGCTTGGTTTTACGGAGAGAAATACAAAATGCAATAGTCACATCTATATCTTACATTACTTCTGCCACAATTTTATCAGTGTAGATATGCATTTAAATCCATGTGACTGTACTAACTGATCTTAACTGTTACAACTTCATGTAAGTTAATTACCAGTCCCCATAAACCCATTTGAATGTGGTCTTTTCTTGAGATACAAATTCTGATGATTAATTGTGGAGTTTGTACTTTTCAGTCATTCTAGCAGAGGGCAGACATGATTTTCCATCATTCTTTTCAACTTCAGTAATACTGACAGCCAGAGTACCATTTAGTGTAAGATGGAATAAAGCGAGATATACGACATTTATACGAGTATAGTAAACCCTCATCGTAACGGACAAAATCTAGCTGTGTATAATTGTGAATTTTTAGAGATGTTGAGGCACTGAGGTTTTGTATTTAAAAAACTGTTTAAAATAAAACACAATATAAAAGTCATTATGTAATATAATTGTGTTTAATAATTTCCATGTATTGACTGTGTGTCCTATGGTGTAATTCCGTGAATACCCCTTCACTCTGTTATAGCAGATTTGGAGATAACAGACACCGTGTCCCTCTTATGAGTCCATTATAATGAGGGTTTACTGTATAGAACATACACCATTTTGTAAGCTTGTAACATCATGATATACAGTGGGGAGGGGGACCCCCCCAATTTTGTGTTCCTTGATTTAATGTTCAAGTGTAATGATCCCAGGTCAGTAATGTTAGTGTTAAATTTCTACCATTTAGGATGGTCCTCAGTTTAGTGTCCAAACCTGCTTTTCCCTGAAGTATCTTATATTGAAGTTTTACTGCAAATTACAATTTTCAGATTAAACATAACAGAGAATGAGTGGTTTTAAAATTGAACAGGGTCTAGCTGGCACATGTATAACATCTGGCTAGACTTGAGGAGTTATGTACCTACTTTTAAGTTTCCTTATCAGGCAGTACATACTTACATACTTGTATAATCAGCCAGTTTTGGATATAATGCTTAATTACAATGTATCAACTGCTAGATACGAAATTGTTTCTGTCATTTGTTTGACTGTTGATTAATTCAGAGTCATCTTTCTCATCCACATTCCACTCATACTCAGCAATTATGAAGACAGGACAGAAAATTGTGTACTAATATTATCACCATTCTGTCCAGAATTACATTACAAGAACTTTTGTTATTCATCTCATTGTTGTAGAAACAAATGCACAAATTTAAAAATAACTGATGATCACTTTACCTAAAAGATACTGTATACAAGTCAAGTAAGACAGTATACAAGAGATGGACAAAAATATGGAAACACCCAACAAAAAACACATTACCATGACTAATATGGTGTAGGATAACCTCTGGCTTGCAGTCTCCTTGGAATGGATGAATAGAGGTCCTGTATGATTTGCAAGGGAATCTTGTATCATTCTTCCTGAAAAACATGGTAAGTTCTGTTATCGATGATGGAGGTGGTTAGCGCGCACGCAGATTGCTCTCCAAAACAGACCACAAAGGCTCAATAATATTGATATCCGGCGATTGTGGAGGCCATGGCAGACGTAACACTTCATCTTCGTTCTCAGAAAACCAGTCCTGGACGATGTGAGCTAAGTGAACACAGGCATTGTTGGCTTGGTAAATGGCATCACCATTAGGGAACAAAGTTTGCACCCTGGGATGGACCAGGTCACCCAAAATGGTCACATAGTCATTGGCAGTGACATGACCTTGCAGGGTAATGATGGGTCCGACAGAATACCACAATATGGCTGCCCATACCATGGTCGAACCCCCGCCATGTTTTACTCTTGGCAGCAGACAATCTGGATTGTAAGCTTGGGATGGCGTTCTCCAAACGTAAACTCAGCCAGAAGTCGGAAACAGTGTGAAGATAGACTCATCCGACCAAATGACCCTCTTCCATTGCTCCATAGTCCAGGTTTTATGACTTCAGCACCACACTGTCCTCTTAGTGGTATTTTGATCACTGATGAGTGGCTTTGGAATTGCAGCTCATCCAGAAATACCCTGCTTGTGGAGTTCCCTTCGTACTTTTTTGGTGCTGACAGGGTTTGTGAGCGTGACATTCAGTTCAGCAGTCACTTTTGCAGCTGTAGTCTTCTTATTTTTCGTCACAATCCTACGCAATGTTCATCTGTCTCGATCACTCAACACACATTTCCGTCCACGCTGGTGTTTATTTGATGCGGCCATAATCTTGGATACTGTGCCTCGCGATACACCAAAAACCTCGGCTACCTTGGTTACAGAAGCACCCACCATATGGGCCCCAACAATTTGCCCACGTTCGAATTCTGTTAGCTCTGACGTGATGCACAAAAAATTGCACAGAACACTGTCTCGACAACAAATTAAGATTGCAACATA